CAAGAAGAAGAACAAGGTGGGAAGCCTCTCACTCCCCAATTTCAAAATCTACTACATGGCTACAGTGGTTAAAACAGCCTGGTACTGGTACAATGAAAAATACATTGATCAATGGAACAGAATCAAGAATGCAGAAATTAACCCATCCACATACAGCCAACTGATTTTCAACAAAGTGCCTAGGTATGTTACATGGGGAGGAGATAGTCTCTTTAACAGACGGTGCTGGCAGAACTGGAAAGTGATATGCAAAAGATTGAAACAAGACCTTTACCTCACACCTTATACAAAAACCAACTCAGCATGGATTAAAGACCTAAATGTGAATCCCAAAATTATGAAAGTCATCAACAAAAAAATAGGGACAAATGTGAGGGCTCTAATACAGGGAATACACAGACTACCAACCATTTTGAAAAGTACACAAAAAGTAGACAAAATAGATGAGTGGGACATACTAAAAATTAAAAACTTATGTGCATCAAAAGACTTCACCAAAACCCACAGAATGGGAAAACATTTTTTGCAACGACACATCAGACAAGGGACTCATTTCTAAAATATATAGGAAACTACAACACCTTTACAAGAAAAAGACAAATAACCCAATTAAAAAATGGGCATAGGACACGATAAGCCACTTCACCAAGGAAGATATCTGGGAGCCAACAAACATATAAAGAAATGTTCACGATCACTAGCCATTGTTGTTGTTGTTAATTGCCATCGAGTCGGTTCTGACCCATAGCGACCCTGGATAGGGTTTCTGAGGAGCAGCTGGTGAGCTTGAACCGCCAACCTTGCAGTACACACTGCTTTGCAGTCTGGCGCATTAACCTACAGCGCCACACCAGGACTCCATTAGAGAGATGCAAATCAAAACAACAATGAGATATCATCTCACACCAACAATAACAGCAAAGATCAAAAAAGTAGAGGACAATAAGTGCTGGAGAGGATGTGGAGAGATTGGGACGCTCCTGCATTACTGGTGGGATTGCAAAATGGTCCAGCCTCTCTGGAAAGCAATATGGTGCTTCCTCAGAATGTTGGAAATAGAAATAACTTATGATTGATTCAGCAATTCCTCTAGCCAAAAGATGGAGACAGCCTAAGTGCCCTTCAGTTGAAGAATGTATGTGGCACATACACACAATGGAATACTATGCTACCTTGAAGAACAACAAAGAAGCTATAAGCCACCACATAACATGGATGAACCTCGAGGACATTATGCTGAATGAAATTAGTCACAAAAGGAGATATACTGCATAGGACCATTATTGCAAAAGAGTAGGAAAAAGAACCCACACTAACAGGGAAAAAAAAT